TGATGCCCTTGCAATAGTGAATTGTGCTGCCATAAACATTCAGGTGCAGATGTCTTTATAATAGAAAGACTTATGTTCTTTGGGGTAGAGGCCCAAAAATGCTATTGCTAGGTCGAATGGTATTTCTATTTCTAGCTGTTTGAGGTATCTCCAAATTCTCTTCCACAAAGGTTGCACTAATTTGCAGTCCCACCAGCAGTGTAAGAGTGTTCCTGTCTTTCCGCATCCTTGGTAGCATTTGTTGTTTTGGGATTTCTTGATACAAGCCATTCTCACTGGGGTTAGGTGGTATCTCATTGTGGTTTTGATTTGCATTTCTCTAATGATTAGAGATGTTGAACATTTTTTTGTATGTTTGCAAGCCATTATTCTGTCTTCTTTGGAGAAGTTTATGTTCATTTCCATTGCCCATTTCTTGATGGGGTTATTTGATTTTTTCTTGTTTATTCTTTTAAGTTCTAGGTAGATTCTTGTTATTAGACCTTTATCGGAAGTGTAGAGAGCGAATATTTTCTCCCACTCTGTGGGTTATCTATTTGCTCTAATGATCCATTTCCTTTGCAGTGCAGAAACTTTTTAATTTGATCAGATCCCATTTGTTTATTTTTGATTCAGCGGTGATTGCCTTGGAGGTCTTCCTCATGAATTCTTTGCCATAGACGCAGTGTAGGGTTTTCCACTTTGTCAAGCCTGCCAATACATAAACACTGTATATTTCTCCAGTTATATAGATATTTGATTCCTTTCAACACCAGTTTTAGTTTTCCGCTTATAAATCCTATATATGGTGGCACACACATATATATATGCGAAACACTCTAGATAAATCAAAATTGAATTCTAAATAATGTTTTAGTACCCTCAGAAAGGTAGGGGGAAGTAAAACAAAGGCAAAATCAAAGGAAAATAAAAACTAAAGTGGCAGACTAAATGCTAGCATAGCAATAATTATGTTAAATTTAAATGGCCTAAATATACTAATTAAAAAACAGAGATTGGCAAAATGGATTTTAAAATATGATACAACTTATATATTATCTACAAACTCACTTCAAATATGATGAAGGATGGAAAAATATATATCGTGCAAAAATTAATAAATGAAAGTAGTAGTAGCTATATTAACATCAGACAATATAGACTACAGAGCAATGAAAATTACCAGAGACAGAAAGGGGCATTCTGTAAGAATAAAAATGTCAATCCACCCAAAAGACATAGCAATCCTAAATGTATATATGCACAAACAACAGGAGCTGCAAAATATATGAAGCAAAAACTGATAGGACTAAAAGGAAAAATAGACCATCCTCAATTATACTTAGAGATTTCAACTCCCCTCTCTCAACCAGTTAATAGAACAACTAAATAGAAAAAGAGCAAGGATATAGAACTCAATAGCACTATCAACCAACAGAATCTAAACAACATTTATAGAATAATCTCCCCACCAATAGCAGAATACATATTTTTTTCAAGTGCCCGTGGAACAAGTACCAAAACAGACCATATTCTGGATCATAACAAACCTTAATAAATTTTTAAAAACTAAAATAATAAAAAATATGTTCACAACTGCAATGGAATCAAACTAGGAGTCAATAACAGAAAAAGTAGCAGGAAAATCTCCAAATACTTGAATAGTCTATAGAACACAAAAGAAGTCTCAAAAGAAATAAAAGAATATGTTGAACTGAATGAAAATGAAAATACAACATATAGAAATTTAAAGGACACAGCTAAAAAGCATTGAGTGAGAAACTTATAGCACCAAAAGCATACACTAAAAATGTGAAAATTTTCAAATCAATAACCAAAGCCCTGCTTCAAAAACCTAGAAAAAAGGGCAAAATGAACACAAAGCAAGCAGAAAGAAAAAAATAATAAAGATGAGACTAGAAATCAATAGAAATGAAACAGAAAAATAGAGAAAAGCAATGCAACAAAGAGCTAATTCTTTGAAAAGATCAATAAAATTTTAAAACAGCTAGTAAGTGTAATGAAGGAAAAAAAAAGAAGACAAAAATCACCAATATCAGGAATGAAATGGAATATCGCAACATATCCTGCTGATATTAAAAGGATAATAAAGGAATACTTCAAATAATTCTACATATGTAAATGTGATAACTTAGGTGAAACATACCAATTCCTTGAAAAACACAAATTACCATAATTCACCCAATGTAAAATAATTTGAGTAGCCCTATGACTATTCATAATTATAAACTCCCAAAAAGGAAATCTCTAAGGCCAGCTGGTTTCACTGGATAATTCTACCATGCACTTAAAGAAGAATTAACATTAATTCTGCACAATTTCTTTTAGAGAATATAAGCATAGGAAATGCTTTCCAATTTGTTATGAAGCTAGTATTATCCTAAATACCAAATCAGACAAAAACAGTACAAAAAAGGAAAAGCTATAAACCAGTATGTCTCATGAATATAAGGCAAAATAAGGCAAATATCCTTAAATTATTAGTAAACAGAATTCAGCAATTGATAAAAAGAATTATATATCATAACTAAGTGGAGTTTATTCTATAGATGTAAGAATGTTTGAATGTTTGAAAATCATTGTAATCTGCTGTATTAATAGGCTATAAAAGAAAATTACATGGTCATATCAATTGATACAAAAAAAGCATTTGACAAAATTCAACACTAATTCAAGATTTTTAAAAATTTTCATAAAACTAGGAATACAGGAGAATTTCCTCAAATTGTGAAAGAGCATCTACCAAAATTCTCCAGCTAACATTATATTTAATAGTGAAAGAATAAATTATTTCCCTCTTAAAATGAGGAATAAGGCAAGGATATCAACTCCCACTATTTTTACTCAACATAGTGCTGGAAATTCTAGCCACTGCAGTAAGGTAAGAAAAGGAAAGAAAAGGAAATAAAAGGCATGTACAACAAAAAGGAAGAAATAAAACTGACCCCTATTTGCAGATGACATAAATGTCTACATGGAGATCCCAAGAAATATACAAAAAACCA